AAAAAAACTTGAGGACATGAGCGTCCTTCAAACTGATTTGTCTCGTTTGGAGCAATACTGTCCAATTAGCAGGCTATATCTGAATGTACAAAATGCTCGGTCGCGACATATTCACGAAAACATTCAGCCATCGCCGTAACTAATGGAATCTCTGCAACTAAAAAAATGATAACCGAATCGAAAATATTTACAAATGATTAATTAGATGATAATAATATAAAACTTGGCCCATTCATGCGACATGGGATATTAAGGATGTTTCACTTAGCTGATTTTCCACAGTAGTTAAATAAATATATAAACTAGAAAAGTAATTCTATAATAAGAATTATGGTTTCCTCATCATCATCAGCCTATCGCAGTCCACTGCTGGACATAGGTCTCTCCCATTGCACGCCACTTAGATCGATCCTCGGCTTCTCGCATCCAGCTCCTGTAAGCCATCTTGCGCAAATCGTCACTTCACCTGGCCCGTCGGCGTCCTACACTACGTTTAATTGTGGTTTACAAACATAAAAATAAACCATATACATACACACCTAAACACTACCACTGCACTACCGAAGCAGTTAATGCCTCGGTGGTGCAGTGGTAGCGTATGCGACTGCTATGCTGACGTCTCTTTTTCGATCCCCGGGTCGGACCAAATGTTTGTCTGATCTGCAAATATTTGTGCCGGAGTTTGGGTGTTTTCTATGTAAAATATGTATGTATTTACAAAAAAAGTATAAAAGTTTTCTATTAGTAAATTTAGCTTTCATAGTACAAGCTCTGCTTAGTTTGAAACTAGATGGCACTGTGTTAGATGTCTGAAATATTATTATATTATATAGGTACTCGATAATAATTTACGAAATAGAACCGCTTTAAACTTTTTATATATACAGGATAGAGTTTATCTGCGTGTATGGTTATGAATTTACATCTGTTCAACATTTCAGCCAAATTTATGACAAATATTAAGTCTCCTTTAAATTCTCATACTCACATGTATGAAACGACTGGGATTAATTGACAACCCTAGTTTTAACCTCAAAATAAACCAATAACGTGAAAACTTAAATTGGTCTCTGCGCTTCGTTACTAGACACGATTTACATAAATCCTCAAGGGACTTAGTTTGGGAAGTTATAATTATCATAAAGCTAAAAGGACTGGTGACACATATGTTAATATAAATTAACATGTACACGTATTTTTTAGAGCAATATTATCGAATTTTACAATCGAACATAATGTAGGCACTTCCTCCAGGGAACGTATAAAAAATGACTCTAATATCAAGAATGATCTCTTTTACGTCATCATTTTGATATAGTTCAAGTATATTTATGATATCAATCCAACGTTCGAAGTGAACATCATACGCAAAGAACCATATTATATTGGTAAATATTGCGTAGAATGAAATGTAGATCAGAAAAAGTAGAATAGTAGAAGTGATGAGTAGAAGAGAGTAGGAACTATAACAAGCCCGGCAAGGGAAAAGAATAATAGCTCTAACTCAACACATTTACTCACGGGATTCTGATCCAAAACTAGGCAGGACTCAAACTCTGCCAACGTTATTGTATGTTCAGTAAGTCCACTTATTGTATATATGATAACGGGGCAGAACTAAGGTAATCAGCCTGCTGATAAACATACTTATAAATTTCTAAATACATACATACATGATACTTAAATGACATCCAGACACTGAACAAATTATCTTGGTCATCGCAAAATTATTTGTCCTGGATAGGAATCGAACCTACTAGTCGAGTGTAAGTTTGATTGATTTCTGAAGGTTGATTTTTAGCTGAAATCGGAGCAGCTGCATTATATTAACCTATTATATCTAATAACTTTAAACGAGCAATTCTTGAACATATATATATAAATATATACATTCTGAATCTCGGAAGCGGCTCCAACAATTTTCATGAAATTTTGTATGCAGGGTTTCGGGGGCGATTTATCGATCTAGCTAGGTTTCATTTTCAGAAAATTTACCAAAAAAAATAATACCGGTCAACCAGGTACTTAAGTTTGTAATTTAGATTTAGAAATTTTAGATCACATAAGGTGAAATTTTGACGGTACGGGTGGCGTAGTGGTTTAAGCGGTCACCTCGCCGCTACCTACTGCACTGAGTGTTGTGGGTTCCACCCCCACATGGGACAACACTTTGTGCGATCCACAAATTGTTGTTCTGAGTCTGGGTGTTCTTTGTGTCCATTTCATGTATGTTTATAAAGTCCCCCGCGATATGATATTTTTTCCTAGTGCGGGAGTTGTCTTTAAAAAAAACAAAAATTAAAACGCTACGGTTGAGCAGAAGGTGTTGTTTATGCTATAGGTGACCGAAGCCGAAGCCGACAACGAAGATTAGGTCAAAGAGAGTATTATAAATTAGTGAATACATCTTATAAATAAGTGCATTTCACAATCTTTCAGGTGACTTCAAATAACGAACAGAACAAAAACGTATCTAGAAAACAGGCGATGTTTAATAAACTAATATTTTATTCAATTCGTTTTTGTCGTAATAAAATAAATATTTTATTAAGATATACAATAGCAGCCATGTCATGTGGACGTAAATTAAACAAACAATATCTGCAATTACTGTTTTTTGTTTTTATCATTGCCTAGGTCTATTGACTTCCTGATTGCAATTGTTGTAGTTAATATTATAAATTTAAAAGTGAGTGAGTGAGTTGTTTGTTCGCTTTGGGTTTACGCTTTAACTGTATGAAATGTACCAAAGTAGTGGTAAAATAATTTGTTAAAAAAATCAAATAGGATTTTGTCAATTTTCTCTAACTCTGAGCTGTAAATTCTTACTTCAATCATATCTAAAAACGATTTTTCCTTTAAAGTGTCTGTTTCTTCTTATAAACATCAAATAACCGATTAGGGCTGATGATCACTTTATTATAATATTAAGTTAAGGGGAATAAACGCGCTCAGAACAGGTATTAGAACAAGTAATTCCTTTTTATTTCTTTATTTATTGAAAAGAAACTCAACAGCTTGCTTTCAAAAAAGGCCTCATCGCGTTGATTCCCGTAAACGTGTGTTATGGAACGCTATAGTATAAATGTTATTATTATTTGGAGTAACGGGTGTTATAGCCCTCCATCACAATGGCAAAGTCCTCCGACTAGGCAAGCTGATTATGGCAGATGGGCTGCCGCCAAACGGCGGATATTGGAAAGATGTATATGTACATACTAAGTATCTATATACTCACTATTCTATGTGCAGCAGTGGAAAGCGATAGGCTGATGATGATGATGTTGATGATGATGATACTATTGCGATAACTTCCATTGCGCGATGCAGAATTTTGTGGTTATTGTATCACGTCGACATATGTCGATGTGGTACAATAACGTCGAAGTGTGTTTGTCGTTGTGAAAATCGCTAACAGTGATAAAATCATCAAAATTTGCTTAATTATTTAAACAAATAAGTAAATAAATACAATAACAAGCATATCACGTAAGTAATTATGTTATATAATTATCAAACCGACTAAAATTAACCAAAATTATGTAGCAACACGTCAACAGTGTGTAGTTGATTAAACAACACCAACCTCGGAAGAATATTTACTTAACGTGTGTGTACTCTTGGTCATTTGTCTTATCCATACAACGATGTATGTTTGTGATGACACTGCTCATAACCAAAAGATACCTGTCGTCATATTTTGTAATAGCTTTTCCCTGCGACTTCATCCGCGTGGAAGAGTTACATTGGGTAGAATTAAAAATTTTAAGGATACTTATTTTGCAAATAATAAAGTACAAACCGCTGTTGCGTGATCTTATCTTCGAACTTTCATCCCTACACTGGTCAAAATTATAAACACACCAAAACAAATATTCTAATCGAGTGCTTAAATACAAAGATTCGTACAGTGAAATTAGTCTCGAGAAATTTTTGCATATGTAGTGGTGTGTATATTACTCAGATCTTAGAGCGCGTTTCCACTATATCGTTCTGGCCTATACAAAAATCTTTCGATATCCTAACATTACTATTTAATTTTATACTTATCCCTAGCAACACTCTGATTTTTGTTTTCAATAAAAACATTTTTTTATTTTAAAGAAAAAGGTTTTGACTTTATAAAAAAAAAGGTGTGTGTGCGATTCACACACGATAGAAGTGAAACTTCAAAGAGGAGAGACCGATATTTAAAATTTTTTTTTTTTTTCCTTTCATCTAGGTTTTTAAAACTCCGGGGGTCTACGGGGGGGTCAAAATTTTTGTTATTTTTGGCCTAGGACGCACCGTTTCCGAGATATTTCAATCTAAAGCAAAAAATCGTCACTTGATAGTGGAAAGTGGAAACACGCACAAAACCAGAATAAACCAGTTTACGCTGTCCGTACCATACACTACTACAAATGCAAAAATTTCTCCAAGCTAATTTACCTGTAGTTTTATCTTCGACAATGACTAGCTTTCAAACAAACTATTTCCACCCCTTCAAGCCTTTTTTTTCTAGATGTGTTTTGTTCTATGTCCTTCCCTAAGCTCTAGACTATCTCTGTATCAACTATTATATAATATTGATACATATAAATATTCATAACAGTATTTAATGATTATATAGAGTAACTTACTAAAAAGCGAATAAAACATTGTATTGGATTGCAGGAAAATGTTTAAAATTATCTGATTATAATCTAATAATAGTGTCATATTGTTTAAGTACATTCTGTACATTACGTGTGAACTGGAGAGACAGGATGTATACCTATGGCCAAATGTAGATAAGATAAATTTTAATAAATAAAATATGTGAGGAGGTGACGGCGTAAAAGCTGGTGGCAAAAAATGGGGGCTTAAAACGCCTCCTCATAATCTTTTTGGGATACCTGTCAGAGTTATGATTAAGATTAAGAACTCTTTTACTAATCTACTTTTTATCGGTTTGTAAATAAAATATTAACGTTTGCCTTTCCGTTTCAGATATAAATTAAAAGGCACTACCGCCGACCATGCCGTCTCCAGATAATCGAAAACAAGGTTAGATTTTTTAAAGTATGTTATTAGTAAGTAAGTAATCTTTATTGTAGATCATGGGTACATTATATAGATGATATAGATATCGGTATTTAGTTCCGGCTATGTCCCGCCCATTGGGCATACAATAGATAAAATTATTATAATATAGGTACATGCAATGAATAATAAAATTTGTTAATTCACATTTTAACAGAATTTGCAAACAGGCAATAATAATGTAGACATACAATAATAAGAGTAGGGAACACTGAACAAATCATGACTGGGGTATAGAGTATTGGAGCAGAGACCTGTCGGTCATGTAATCTTTGGCCGTATAATAACATTTATTTGGCAACAAGTCAGCTCATGTTTAAGTTTTCAGCTAACGACTTTTTGCACCAAAACTTTGTTGCATCATACCTGGAGAACGCACACCTTTGCGTCATGTCATGAAATCGTATTACGATTATTTACCAGATATTAATTTATTCAAATTGTCTAATAGTGTATTTAAAAAACAAGTTTCCTTAAAATATAAAGGAACTCATAAACTTAAACACTGACCTATCATCTTGATGGATCTTGTAAGGCGTTTATTTATCCACACTCTTTCACTATCTTAAATTGTATTCCAAACACTCTTACTCTGTTACACTGATTTCATTTCTAAATATTATATGACGTTAACTCACAGTAACTAAAACTAGACTATTCTTATCATTTCGTTTGTAGTACACTAGCTTATTATATAATTTGGGGGTTACAGTGTTGAGTGTCATCATCATCATCATCATCAACAGCCTTTAATAGTCCACTGCTGGACATAAGCCTCTCCTTAGAAAGGAGGTGTTGAGTGTATAATTAGTTAAAACTACTAGTGAATCGATGTACCTATATTCATTGTTTCCCTAAAGAATAAGTAAATAAACACTATCTATGTTAAATAAAAGGTTGTGATTTACAGATAAGGCTTTCCTGTCTCGTAATCTTTAAATCAAATTGTACACATATGTTGATAGTAAAACATATATGTTGATAGTAAAAAGCATCATGCATTAAAAGATGGAAATTGCGAAGGGGTTTCATAATGTTACTTGACAAGTAATAATAATGTTTTCACACATTTCACACATCATGGGATCAGACGGCAATATGTGAAATGTGTGAAAATATCGCAGAAGGAGACGGAAGAGTTCCACGCACTCTCGCTCGGTACCATAGCGGCAATTATACTACCGAGCGAGAGGACTCCCACTCCGGTGGCCACCACGAGGTCACGCCTCTGCTCCACCCATGCCGCGCATTCTGCCAACGTGTGGAGCGCCGTGTCCACGGTTCGGCCATCGCAGTGGTGGCACTCAGGCGTTGGCTCCTTGCGGATCAGACACAGGTGATCTCCAAAACAACCTTTCTCGGTGATTACCTGCCGGTATGAGAGGGTTCCGTGACGCTTCTCGAGCCTATCCTCCATAACGGGTCTTATCGCGTCTAATAACGGCGTGTCCGACGTTAAAATGTACCTAATATATATTTACGTGAGACAAAATTTTTCGATTTTAAGAAAGTAGTCTTTGTTTTGTGGAATTGCTTCGCTGTGTTAAACATACAAAGCTATGTATTTAGATGCCAGGGTATGCCATATATGTTGTATCATCGAAATTACTAAACTCTTAACACCATGGAGACGCAAAAACTTTTGGGAGGGGCTTCTAATTAGGCGTTTACAAGCTTACTTTTGCCAGGGGAGCGCTATGCTTTTAATATGCTTTGGGCCGTTAAATCGATGAATTATAGTTACTGCTTTATTTGCCATAGCATGATATTAATTTAGGATGCAGGTTATTTGATAAACAGCTCAGTAAACAACAAAATACTATTACAAATCTAACAAATGGATTATCAAGGAAAAACACATACCTTTAATATTATTATTTAGGGAAAATGTGTTTTATGACTTTATTTTAAAGTAAGAACAACTGGCGTCGATTTCCAACCTTCTCTTAATCAAACGATATATCATGTCAAACGTCTAGAAACCACCACAAGATGGCCGACATATAAAGCTATTCGTGTCAATGCACAGGCTGACGTGTTTTGATGCTTATCTATTAATTGATGATTAATTGTTTGGGTCAGTGGCTTATTTTTATTATAGTATTTGACTCTTGCCTCTTTATGATTATATTTACTTTATAACTCTTTAAATTGCCATCTCAAATTGATACCGGTACTATTAATTTGGCACTTACTTTTTTGGATTAAGAGGGCAGAGCGCTCGATTGCTCATCCTGACCCAATAAGGCAACAGCGTGAACTATTAGTCAGTACAAATGGCCCTTGTTTATATACGTAAAAAAATTTATACTCGTTACCTTGCTCGCTTGTTAGAGAAGGCCTTTGTCAAAGGACAAGCTGTAAAAGAAAACCGGTTACCGAATAATTAGTCCAAAATTAATGCTAAATTAGAGTTACGTTTTAGTTATAGGCATAGATTAAGATGATAAACAATTTAATTATTCTATAGCAATAAAGGCTTATTTTATTTAATTATTTATTACCTTGCTTACACAAGAATTTGTAATGTAAAACTGGTAAATATAAATAAAAGAATCAATTCTTTATCACAGAAATGAAACGTTAAAAGATTTTTAGAGTTTTATCACAGACTATGACCACAAATTATATTACTGGCCACACGAGTTGGTATAGTGTTAGTTTTAAAGTTTTCCTTCCCATTGCAGTGCTGTTGTCCTGCGCAGTACGCTCCATGAGTCGGTTCTTACGACACCCACGAGATGAAAAAGGGTGACACTCCGTATCCTTAATCCGTCACAACACGGACAAGGACTACAGATCTGCTTTGTTAAAAGCAAGTAACCATCGGGTATGCAAGAAAAGTATAATGGAGAAGAGGTGTATAGGTGCCTGTATGTTAGGGTCGCGCAAATTGGTGTCATTTCGGGGAGGACCTGAAATAACATGGTCCGGGTCCTCCCCAGGGTAGGACACCTAAGGCCGGCCGTCGGGGTGGTTTTTAGTGGAATCAACACATACTCCTGGCTCCTGAGTCCCCGAGGAGCAGGAGATCCGAAGGGATTTTCCACCCCGTCAACAAAAAAAAAGAAGAAAAAAAAAAATGTCGCGCAAATAGCTCTCTATCATGTTTGCCTATCTCAGACAGGAATGAGGCATGTGTGTATGCATGCATCCAAGTTAAATAAATAGTGCCCTTAAATTTTTATTAAACATTCTAGATAACCAAAGATTTGTTTTCACATTAACTAAACTCCTAACTTTACAGTCTAATGGTACTGTTAGATATTATTTAACATTATGTTGTATTTATAGCTAAATGTTAAATATTTTTTTTTTATACAGTACCAAACAATAATTAATATTCGTATCACGAAAATGTACACTCATCCAATATTAACTTTCATGATGTTTTGAGACAGGTATTACGATATTTTGTAATGGAAATATTATGTTGTATCAAATATCAGTTGTATTATTATTCAGTAACCGAATGATAACAACGAAATGTATAGGTATAATATTTGAATGTAGCCGGTCCACGCTTTTTTGCGTTTATGATTACTGCTTTTTTCCCGAGAGTACTACCTAGCGTGATGTTACACAGCCTAACAGACTGGATTGTTGGACGAATTATTTCTTGCTTCTTATTGCAATAAATTTTATCTAATAATTTAAAAAAATTATAATCTCATTCAAGAATAGCCAATTCTGGCGCACGCATTGCTGGCGCTTTTCCTGCCTAATTAAGAAAAGCGAGTGAGGTAATAACCACCCTAGTGTTGAGGTGGCTGCATAATATAGTACTGAGTTAGCGTTACACATACGATTAAAAATACAGAGTGTCACCACCCCAATACATCCCGTAGGTGACGTTAGAGCTATCTAAGGGAATGAACTACTAAGAAAACAAACCCTATACCAAAACCGTCTGACAGCGTGATATTGTAGACCAAAACTCCTTTCTAAGGAGAGGCCTATGTCCAGCTTTGTACTATTTAAGGCTGTTAGGTTATTAAACATTAGTGTGGGAGAGCCATGCTTCGGCATAAGTGGGGCGGCTCGACCGGAGTCAGACAGAGTGATAGATACCACGGCCTTTCAGAATATCGGTGTTAAGCAAATTCGTTACCTACTTTTCACTTGAAAAACCCAAACCACCCACACCCCTGATTTTACGGGGGGATGGGCGGCTTACGTACGGCACGTATATGCAGAGACTTGTAATTAGCAATAAGATTATTATTAAATTGTAATAATAAAACATTGTTATATGTCTGTTTGTCTTTCTAATCACCTATACAAATAAATAAAATTGAAGTGCCTGTTTGTAATCTCAAAATAATAGTTTTGTTCATGCTCACATGGTTATTTGTACGATACCTGTGCCTAAAATCTAGTTTCAATATTTTTATCTGTGTTTATGTTCCGGGTAATCTTCAAAATGGCTGTACTGATTTTGATAATGTTTTACTACCAGGTAGCTGTCTATATAAGGAGTAACTTAGGCCATTTTTCCTCTCAGAAAATCACTATAAAATTTTGCCCGGTCCGGGAATCGATCCCGAGGCCTCATGGACTGCATTGCCTTAGTGGTGTAGTACGTGTAGTGGTACGCGAGTACCACTACACGTACTACACCACTAAGGCAGCGCTTTTTAAAGCTACTAATTAAATGAAAATGATAAAATAAAATAAAATAGACTCAAAGGGCGGCAGCGTGACTCGTGAGTTGCAGGTGTCTATGGGTGCACCAGGGACTTCCTTTCTAGGATATACCTGGTTCCCCGGCTATTAGTACCCAAGACGGCGTGCGGTTTTAGTCGGTACGAGTCCGACATGCCACCGATAGGTGGTATACGAGGGGATTTCCGCACGGGGAAAAAAAAAAAAAAGGTGTCTATGGGTGGCGGTTGTTACATACCATCAGCTGACCTCTCTGCTCGTTTGCCCCCTTATTTTATAAGAAAAGCTCACCCCGAAAT